TTTGTTTCTGTCAAGACTGAGCATATCTTTATAACTATGTGTTTTGGTTATCAAAGGAAGTTTCGAGGTTTTTTGACTAGTTCATCTGCATTACTGTTTCCTGTGATTCCAACGTGATTTTTATCCGAAACAAAAACAATCCGTTGATTTCTTTTAGAGAGTTTACAACCCGATGAGTGCTTTCTTCTTGGCCAATATATCTGCTTTGTATATCGAGCAGAAACTAGGTATTCGATATTGAAAATTGATGTCGAAATTTGGGACATGAACTGCCAAACCAGAACCGTGCTTAGTTTTTTAATCGTCCGCATATATCTTCATGAAATTCTGATAATAATTGTGAGTTGCATTGATATTGTTACCAAAAATAATTTTACAGATTATGAGGGGAAATATTAAACTTATATTTGAGAGTAATGAGTGCATTTGCCAGAGGCAAGATATTCTTTTTTATCTAGTATTCACTTGTTGAATTTTTTATGGATAATTGAAGAACAACTACAAAAAACATATTCTTTCAAAATTAAAAAATTATTTTCTCACTCTCCAAAGTTGTTCTCGAGCTTCACCTAATAAAGCTGGAGTTGGTGTTGATTTCGGTACAAGTTTACGTCAACCATTTTCAAAAAACAATTCTATTGGAAGTGTGGTGATTTATAATCCTACTGAATAGATGGAATAAAGAATCAAATCAAAGAATGAATGAATGAAATATTTATGAAAAACGAAATATGAAAATATATAAATAAATGAACATAGTTGCTAGTATCAACAAGTATTTTCGAAAAATAACCGAAACGCACGTCGCTGAAGGTGAAAAGCACCCAAACAGTCATAAAATCTTTTTTTTTTTGTAATACGATAGAACGACAGGTTGGACCCAGTGAAGTATTATAAACCCGCCTATGCAGCTGTGGCAAAACATAACAGAACCACAAAATTTTGTTTGAGCACTCTGTTAGCATTTTTCATTTATACTGAGCATTCATTACTTTCCACTATAAGAAAACAAAGTAGACATCAGTTTCACCTATTTTATTGGTAACAGGTACGAGTAGATACCAGGTATGACTCATGTGTCCTTATATTTTGCTGTCTAACAGTTGTATTCCTGTTTAATATTATATTTGCCCGTTTTCTACGAATTTTGAGTTTTCAGAAGACAGTCTAAAGCGCCCAGGTGTCTCGGTATCACTATAGTAACTTTCTATTACTATTTTCGAGGTCAGCTCTTTAAACAGAAAAATAACTATAAACAACGCAACGTTCATATATGTCTTTCGTAAAGGTTCCCTTGATGAGATAAACCGTCGAAATATGTACTCAGTATCCAGTTTGTACCTGCTAGGATTCACTAACCTTTTTTTAAAGATATCAACTCGATACGATTCAATCCTAATGTGACAGATACGAGGGCTATTCAAAAAATGAGGTGAATGTTTAAATTTCGCGGGCTACGTACACTAGATTAGCGATGTTCTATTTTTTTCATGTTGGTAAACTCGTATCGAACATATGTTCACAATTTCAGATGTTTTGCATGTTTAGTCAGTTGGTGAGAGGCATAAAAGTTGGAAGTATTTTGCATGTTCGACGATTTTCTGCTTTCTAAAAAAATGTATCAAATAATTTGCATCAAATTTTGTGTTAAAACTGAAAATAGTTGCTCAAAAACACCTAAAATGTTGACAGTGGGAAACGGTGATTGTACTTTGAGTAAGAAAAATGTTTACAAGTGGGACACAGGAGGTCGAGAAGATGTGAATGACGACTTTCGTCCTGGACCCCCCAGCACATCAACAACCGATGAAAATAACGAGAAAGTGAAGAAAATTGTTTTGGAGAATCGTCGAGTTGGTTCCAAAATTGCTGAATTTTGACCAAACAAACCGTCGTATGAGCATGGCTCATTAATTGTTGAATGACGTCAGTGGCGATCCAGATTTGCTGATGACGAATAATAGAGTTATGTTATCGAAACCAAAGTCCAATCGTCAATGAAGCAGCCAAGGAGAGTCAAGACCGAAAAAGTACGCTAAGTTCGATCAAATGTCAAGGTTTTGCTCACTGTTTCTTTCGATTAGCGTGGCTTAGTGCATCAGGAGTTCTTGCCACATGGTTGTACCATAGTAAAAATCAACCAGTAAGTCCACTCCCACTACTTTCATTCATACATTCATAAAGTTCTCGGTGACCTCGAAACGAAGTGTGAAACCAATTTCATTCTTTCACATTAGACGTGCGCTCGTATATCCATTCAATATCTTCAGTTCCCAACCTTTTTTTGATGTTCCAGACTGGCAAGGTTGCTTATAGCATTTGGATGCTCGCTCAAGTGGATGGCTCCTCAGGATAAGCTCAAACCATAGGAGGTCTAATTTGACCTTTATAAAGAAACTAACTGACCTGGCAAACTTCGACTGCCTATTAATTGATGAATGTCGTGTTAGATTAACAGCTGAGTTATCTCAATTCTTTCAAATTGTATCCTTGAAGTACGAAGTCGGGTCATTTCAATGCCCAACAGTAGATTTTGTGTCACATTCGGAACAGGAGATCCACTGCAAAAACAGTAGACAACACTCAACAAGGTGCTCCTCTCATGTGATTTCTTCTTCATCTGCAGTGGATTCATTCGAAATATCAGAAAGTCTAATTGCAGCATTGTGAATATTCATGCGCGCACAATCACAAAAATAACATCATTGTCTTTGCAAACAGCATGACAACTGTCATAACGGACACCCTCTTCGACCACGACACAAGACAGTTGTGCCGATAACGACCGTCCTCAAAGATGGCACAAAGATGTTGTGGCCGGAGTGAAGTCTAAAACAGAGGTGTAGTTGAAATGAATAATGTAACGATTTCATAAATATCGAAGTCAAAGGCAAATTGAGAGGACTGACGCCCCCCTACGCCAGTAACCAGGCTGGATGTCGACGGATTCGATAAGGTCGTTTATTCTATGAGAATTAAAAAAAATGTGAAGTGTATGTTTATGTGATAGAAAAACCAAATGGTCTCCCGAAGAGGAGGAGACTATTATGTAATTATTCATCAGTATTTTCAACAAAATACTGATAGCATGAAAAAGTAAATGGGGTGGCAGCATTCCGTAAAGCAAGACTATTGCGCTCCACGCGAAGCTCCTATTAATCATTAACAGGAGGAACCTGATCAAATGCGTCAATTGCATCAGATCAGTGGGAAGTAACGGCCATTAAAAAAGAGAGAGAGAACTGTTAAAACCTAACGTCACCAATTTAATCAATCTTCAATATTTTTTATATCCAGTCGTTATTAATACATGTTTTCGTCACTTTGTTTTATATATTGAAAATGTTTTCAACACGCTTTTATTAGCTTCACCTGTTTGTATGGATGTTTGTTTGTAACTCCAGAATCATCGACATTATTGCTTGATCTATTCGCGGGCAGATGGCGCTGTACGTAACCTCCTTGATATAATTCGAACTCACTTTACATGTATTTCTTCATTTGAAAAAATTATATTTTTTATCAACACGCGCGCCTACTGCCTCATTTATAACTCCCAATACGAACCGCCTATTCTTCAGTCCACGTGGACTAATTCGTTGCGGCATAATTCCTTTGTATTGGTTTTTTTGGCCTTTGACTTCGCCGACACCTTTAAGATTACTATATCGGTTACCTCGACTATACACAAAATTTTCAGTGTGAGAAATGTCACACTGATATGTTACATAAAAAATACACCAAGACCCACACAGCACTAGATATTCATGGAATATTCCCTGTATATCATAAAACGAACGTATATTTTCCAAATATTCATAGAATATTCTTGGAATATATACATGCCTTTAGAATATTCATAGAATATGCTTGAATGAATATGGCAGGATTATTCCCGAAAGAATGTGCATAGAATGTCTATAAATGGATTATTCTCCCTTGAATATTCTAAGAATATTGTCGATCGAATATACCATATGGTATATTCTTAGAATATATCCCCACGGTATATTTTGGAATATTCTATACAATGGAATTTTGAATTATCTTATAATAACGTATTCAAATAATTCAATATTATTAAAAACAAAAATATTTGAAGATCTTANTATATTTAAAGAATATTCTATGGTGTTTCTCTATTGTATATTCCTACAATAAACTAAGAATATCCTGAATATTTTATGAATATTCCTCGGGTTCTATTCCTGGAATATTCTTAATAGAATATACCTTAGATATTCTAAGAATATTATAAGATATTCCAAGAATATTCCCAAGGAATATTCTTAAAATATATCAAAGGTTCGCCAGGAGCACTTCCAGGGAATATTCTCCAGAAGATATATATATATATATCCATGGCATATTCATAGCATAATACAATATCCTTAAATGTATATTCATGAAATATATCTGGAATATCTATTGCTATGTGGGGAGGTGGATATGTTAGTTATGGAATTTGATATTATGAATCAACAATATAACATTATTACAAAATTTCAAATGACTGAATTATATCTCTTCGAATGAAAATTTCTCATTTAGTTATTTGTGCTAATTCAATTTCCTCAAGTGTATAAAAAGTAAAGTTTGAAAGCGGCTGTATATTTGGTCGATAAAATGAAAAATACTAACATAAAACAAATTGAGCAATAAAGGATCGTTTTACATTTCGGAACTTGATTTTCCAGCTATCATCCATTACGAACGTAAAATATTTATCAAGAAGTATAGTTATATATTTGTCGCGTGTTGATGGGTTATGTTGATATTTGAGCAATTTTAAAAATGGTTGTACCTATTCATTTCATTTATTACAATACATAGAGAAGACTTGTGAGTCATTCTAATACCTTTCGTGAAAAATGTTGGTAACAATGAAAATCACCAAAAATGTCACTGAATTGCGGGTGCAATGTGATAAAATTAGGTCACGTTCTATTTCCTTGTGAAACTGTAAATGCAAAGCCTCCTTAACTTCATTATTTACTCACCATCCAAAAAAGTGTTTCGTTGGCGAAATTGGAATACGTATCTATCGTTGAAAGTACACTAAATATAAGACACACTAGCACCAACATGAATCTGAAACAAAAAACAAACAGTTAGGACGGAACGGAGTAGAAAAAATAGACTTCTCCACTTCATAGTAGATCATTAGTAAATGTGCTTAAATATGGGGTTTAATTCATGAAGAAAACATAATACATCCAGGAAAACTCATTTTTCTCATATGGACATCTATGTTACCTACTAGATACTGCAAAATATACTGCAAAGTATAGCCAATAAAATGTAATATATGATCAGATCTGAAGAAATGAATTTTAAACGTTCAAGCCAGTCTCGGATATATCTACACAGTAGGTTGAATGAACCGACGCCTATCAGAAAACAATTACTTCCCTGGCTAATACCACCAAGGGCGTTGGATTATATGCGACAGGCGTCCTTTGTGGTATTAATCAGGGAAGTAGTTGTTTTCTGATAGGCGTCGGTCCATTCAACCTACTGTTTAGGTATATCCAAGACAGGCTTGAACGTTCAAAGTTCATTTCTTTAGATTTGTTTACTGCCAGTTTTCAAGCATATCCCACTGTCTAATAAAAAATATATGGTCAGGTTGGGATTCCGACATAGCAAAAGAACGAGTTGAGCAAAATGTCGTTTTCCAAGTTATATATGAAGCGAATATCACATTTATAATCCCGTTGAAAATGCACTATTTTGAAAAACCTGATGAACTGATTTTCCAATTTTGTCATTTATCAAATCATTGTGTGGCATATGAAAGTCACCTTTTTTATTGTATTTAAGCAGTTTCCATTTTTTTTTGTCAGTAGTGAATACCAAATGAATGATTTGAAAATCAAAATGTTCAGTGTTCTAATGGCAATTAGAATAGGCATGTATTGTCAACTTCCATTAATATTCAGTGAATGGAAAAGAGCAGAATATGCCATAGCATGTCCTATCTCCTATGAACTCGGTTATTTCATCAAGTATTAACACTTCATTTGCCTTTCCGAGCAATCGAGTTCAGTATCGAACACGTTAAACCTCTTTTATTTGTGAATTTTGTATTCACTATTCATGCGAAATGGACGAGGCAAAATTATTTCAGTACGAGAATAATTGTGTCAAGATAGTTGGTGAAACTGAAATTATAGTCAGAGATGAATGAAACCAAATTGATGAATCATTGTTTTATCCAGTACCTCAAGAATAACTTCAGCAGGAAATCAATTTGCAATATCAATTGATCACTTCATCTTATATACATACAACCATACCATATGGTTACGAAGATTTTTTTTTCTGATTTCGCTACGAAGATGATTCGGTCGTTTTGAGAAAAAAAGTTCTTATGAACATATGTCTGGAGTCGTCTCGTTTCTGAGATACAGAGCGTTGTTGAAAAAAACGATATTTATAAAATATCATGAATATTCTTCTACCGATTTGGTTGAAATTCGCTACAGTTATTTGAAGTAATAAGGCACTTGTTTAGGTAGCGTTAACTAGATTGAAATATATCAGTCCAATGGAATATCAGTAGGCACCACAGTTGTTATATTTTTTATATACCTAACAGCTTTTATTAAACTTTTTTAAAATACTTTAATTATAATTAGCAGGTGTTCATGATAATTATCATGAACACCTGCTTTGGAGACCAACTGATACTGGTGGTATTGTCATTGTCAGTGTCAGTGAAAGTCATAGCTGTCAATTAGCAGTGATTCCATCATAAATTATTTTACTAACGATTTGACTAACTTTATTCGTGGATTAGCAAATGGAAATGCGGAAGAAGCAGACAGAATTTGTCAGGTCAGATATCTTGACAGAGTAATTCTGTCCTGAAACATTTAGAAGCTAGAAGCTAGAAGCTATATTCGATGCGATACGAGAAGATCCTTGAAATAGTACAAAGAAGATTGCACTGCGGCTGGAAGTCAGCCAAAAACAGAATTGACAGTTCTAAAAAGAAACCCCCTATACAGCGGGTCTAAGCCCTACTGCCTTAGGATTTTCACCCAAGATTAATGTTTTGCAGGTGGTTGATTCATACGATGATACACAATAATAATTTTTCGCTATAAGTTTGGGTAGGAATGACTGGTGACTACCTAATTGGCCCATTTTTTCTACCGGCAAGGTTAACAGATGAACAGGTGAACTTGTGGTTTATGCACGACGGGACTCCTGCTCATTTTAGTGTTCTTGCTGGTCAGCATCTCGACATCACCTACCCTAATCACTGGATTGGACGTGCAGGATCTATTTAGAGGGTCATCTGAAGGCTCTTGTTTGTAAAACTCCTGTTCTAGATGTGAATAACTTGAAGAATCGCAGTGTCATATGGAATACTCCAGGTATTTTTGAACGTGTCAGATAATCAATGACAAATCGACCTAACGAATCGCTCTTTGAAATTTCGTACCATAGTCAGGAAGAATCCTGTATACATAACCAACTCATCACCAAATTTTTGTATCTTGTTTTATATTTTTACGCCACTGTTTTTGTCAATGTGGTGACCAGACTTATTAGACTTATGTATCATGACATCAATAAGTAAAGAAAGAAAGAAAAAGAAAAGAAAAAATGATAGAGCCAGAATAGAGGCCATAAAGGAGGAGAAGCGGAAAAGGAAACCATATCAAGAAATGTTGCTACAACGATTAGAATAGCAAGTAATAAAAACAAAAAAATAAGAACGATCTCAGTTGATCAAAAACTGTAGTCGAGAATAAATGAAGAATAGGAGACATAAGAAGGTGAAAGAAAAAAACAACTGAAAGAACAACAATGTTGAAGAATTGTTATAACAAGACATGCTGTTGAAATTGTAATATATGTTCTTATATTTTTATGACACACTGTACAAGGCAGCGTACTTGTACGGATTCAAGGTCATTTTTTATATTTCAAACTGTTTTTGTGTTTTAGAGTTAGTTGAAATTAAAGGTTTGTGTTATACACTTCGTGTATCATTTTTGTTGTTGTGATTTCCTTCAAATTAAGGACAATATATCACAGAAATGATCAGAAATGATCAGTCTGGCAAGTAAACGAAATCGGCAAAGGCCTGCAGTGGGGAATGGAGGAATTGGAGTAGATATTAGAAAATCTATCATCAGATTTCAGAAAAGTTTGTTTAGAAAATATTGGCCTTGATTGACGCTTTCACGGATACCCAGGCGCATAAAGAAGTAAGACTAGAACATCTGTTTCATTTAGAAAAATATTAATTCAAAGTAGAATATTTCAGACTGAACGAATTGAGTGTTTTTTTATAATTTTATTCAGATTTGATGCAGAAGAGGCGATTAGGCAAGTGTCTTATGCCGAAACATCGCATGTCCATTAGTGAGGATGACAGTGTTCCATGTGAGTGAAATTTTAACTGGATGTGTGTGAATGATATCTGATTCAACGACATAACGAATGTTTGGAATACAAATATTCATTATAGAGAGAAATATTTTTGTATAATTCAGTGTTCGTGTGAAAGTATTCGTTTCGAAAGTTTTTTTGTCGTATAATTCAATGTTTATATGAAAATAGCTGTTTCGAGAGGTATTTCCTCTCAGTTGGTGTCTCAAAGTAACTTCTTCACATCATCTACACTTCTTCGTGTAGAGTTATTTTTTCAACTTTTTTTTTAATAAAAAACACAAGCACTATAGGAAAATCTATAAGGTGCTCTCAGAATGGTGCCTGTGAGAAAGTAGCGATTCACGTTGAATTTGAATCGCTGAAGATTGTATTCATTTGGAAAAACGTTCTCAGGAAGTTTATTCCATATAAACGCAGCTCTCCAGGTGAAAGAGTTCTTAAACAGTGAAGTTCGAAATGTACTGAGTTGGACCTCGAAACGATGAGCAGCAGTCCGTCGCGTATTTCTGATATGTACCGCTCTTGGTGGAATCAAATGTGCCGAGTCACTTCAACACTTTCCGTGAAATTATCTATAGAGAGGCAAATCTTCAACTTTCCTTCGATGTTCCAGGCTATTAAGGTAATGTTCGCATCTCCAATCAGGCGGATGGATTTTTTTTAGATGGAATCCAGCAATTTCAAGGTATGTTTGGGGGCAGAACTTCATATATGAGAACAATACTCCAAAGAAGGTCTGATCTGGGGCTTCATTAAGCATCAAAAGTTCTTGATGTGTGTACAGTTTTCTGATTCGGAACAGTGTTCCAAGATTTTGAGAAGCAACCTTTGCAAATCAAGGTACATGATTGTGCCAAAACATATTGGTGTCCATTTCAACCCCTCACCAAGAGAAACAAAACAAAAACAAACAGAATGCGGAATTGTCTAACCTGATATTATTATATCCGGTTCGGAGACATTTATCTTCTTGGAGAAAACCGATGCCTGAAATCATTTCTAAATCCTCATTAGGATATGCAACCTCCTGCTGCCGGTGAAGATGTGCCTCCGTAGCCGATGCCCTGGAATCTAAATGGTATGACGAGATAAGAGTGCTGTCGTCAGCAAAGCAATTGGATCCTTGGTTTCTTTCAATAAATCTTTGACATATAATGAAAAGAGGGTTGGAGACAATATGGTCCTTTGGGAACACCAGCGTTGATGGTGAAAGTACTCGAGAGATTTCCATCGACGGCCACCTGCACGGAACGTTTTTTTAGCAAGCTGATGAGCCATACACAAAAATGATCCGACAAGCAATAGCATCGAAGTTTGTCCAGTAAACCTTCATGACCCACACAGTCGAAGGTCTTAGAAATATCAAGTGGTACAGCTCTTGCTTCTCCATGTTTCTCGAAATATGGGTGACATATGATAGAAGGTCGCCTGTTGATCTTTGTTTCCGAAAGCCAAATTTATATGGTCGCTCAAGATGTTAAAGCCTTTCGAATATTTGGTAATATGGTGGTTTAAGACGTTCTCCATGATTTATGATATCACTGATAGCAATGCGACTATAGTTATTTGGAAAATTTTTCTTGCCCTTTTTGGGAATAGGCTGAATGCGAGCAATCTTCCAACAATGAGAAAAAACCCCTTTCTTGCAAAATACTAATGCGAGTTCATTTACGCACTGT